TTTGGAAGGGTTTATTTATTAAAAATATTAATATTTAATAATAAATTAAATTTTTTTAGCAATAATAAAATTTAAATTATAATATTAATTATTATAAATTAAAATTTCAGCTTATTACATTTGACAAAAAATTTGAACTTCAAAAACAAAATGTTGTAAAGAATAAAAATATATGTACTATATTTAACATTTTTCAAGAATCTAGGGGCAACTTGTAAATGACTTGAAAGAATTTTGTTAGTCAGTTAACGGAATGTTTGTCAAGTAAATCATTTTGAAACAAAATTGATAGTTTGTAGATTATTTTGAAAGAAAAAAATTGTTTATAGACTAAAATGAAATAAATCACATAGTTAATAGACCATTTATTGAATTTAGCCTCCTCAATTTTATTCTTGAACTATTGTATGGATCTTTGATTTGGTCTCTGAACTAAAAAAATCCTTGATTTGATCCCTAAACTATTATACGAATCTCAATTTGGTCCTTACTGTTCACTGATTTAGTCCCAAGTTGGTTCTTCTGTACAAAAAATAATTGATGCATTCGTTACTTAATGGCGAAAAATAGTTACTTAACGGTTACATGTCACGTTAATAACGAGCTAAGTCCGTTGTCTTTTGTGCGGAAAAATCAACTTGAGATAAATTTATAAACAGTAGAACCAAATTGGAGGTTCATACAATAGTTTAAGGACCAAATTAGAAATTTTTTTAGTTCATGGACTAAATCAAAAGTTTGTCCAATAATTTAGGGACAAATTGAGGATTTAACCTTAAGTTTATAAGCATTATAAATATATTGTATTTTAATATGTAACTTCAGTTTTTATAGATGTAAGATTTTTACATATCTTTCAACTCTATTTGCATGTCCATATCCTTCAACCGTATTGGAAGAAACTAGCCTTTTTTTCTTTTTTCCTTACATTGATCCCATTATGTAGTCAAGAAAATTTATGACTCTAAAATAACTCGCGAGTGAATCTGACCTTTGGATGATACTGTATTTGGGTTCGGTGTTAGATGTTAATGTAGGGATTTGTTTGTTTTGTATGTCACGGGGAACGATTTGGTGGGGTATGGCATGCGGTGATGTTGTCCGGGCAAAAATCAGAGGCTAACGATTGAATCAATTGAGTCTTTTGGGGCCCATCTTGTAGAGACTGAGGGCTGGCCCGGCTGGAGTCCAACATCAATGAGAAAAAAAAAAATGTAGCGTTATGTGGACGATTGTGATAGGGTGTTTTGCTATTATAAATTGCACGAGGGGGTACCCCGTACCATAGGGCATCCCATCCTTTCCCCATTTACCCACCTGTTTATAACTCGAATTAGGGCATAATAGTTGGATTTAGGGAGAAAATCAAGTACAAATGGCATGTATTAGATTTAAGGAATGCTAAGGAAACTCTCTCTAATGTTTTTTTAACATTTTTCACATCTATGAGATATGTAAGAGATAAATTTAATATAATTGATTATAATTTTAAATTTTAAAAATATTAATTTTAATATCAATCATTAATTAATAATCACATCAAATTTATATTTCATAAACTAATCACGTATATAGTATTCAAAATAAAGTGTTAGAGAGACTACTCCTAGCACTCTTTATTAGACTGAGGACCAACAGGGCTTAGAGGCTAAATGACTAGTGCACCCAATGACTTCACACTGACCAAGGTTCTGGCTACAACGCTGAAATGCTAAAATCTCCCTTCTCCCTACCTTTAAGGGCTTGTTTGGTTTAGTTATAGAGTCACTTTACCAAATAAATTTATACTAGGAGAGTAATTAAGAATATACTACATGGAAAGCTAGAAAATGCTATAGAGAAAATCGTTAAATTTTATAATTAAGTTTTGTTAAAATTTTATTGAGTTATTAATTTTATTGTATTTTGTGAGGAATTAATATCAAAAAATTAGTAAAAAAATTATTAAGTGAGCCGAATATAAGTGGACTAAATATAAATTATAAGGAGACTTTTCTTTTTCAAAATAAGGGGAAAATTTTTTTACATGGTTATAAGTAAATCCAAGATTAAAAATACAAATTTCTTTAACAGGTAAAAACTATTACAATAGTGATCCAAAATTTAAAACACAAACTTGCTTTAACAAATATTTGTTCTAGAGGCTCTTACAGTCTAATTGCAAAAAGAAAAATTATAATAAGAACTATAGAATTTCCAATTAAGAAATGTTCTCGTGGCCAAAATCAAGATGATTTGCAGAGTTTTTCCTTTTTAGTCTCTCTTTTGCCAATAAGATGAGTTCAAGCGGGGTGGATAGAGGTCAGCTACAGATGATGAAGAGGAGATAAATGGCAAAGATTCCATTGACATACTGTGTGACTTTTTCTCATGAATATTTCCTTCTTCAAGATTCTGATAGAACTTCCTCATCGATTCAATAGACATGCTAGAATCCAAACCCAACCCCACGACAGCAACCTTCCCTTCAAGCATGCTCACCACGGAAGACATGGTTGGCCTAGCAGCTGGAGCAGGGTTAGTGCATGATAGTGCCACATTTATCATTTTCATTACCTCCGTTTTGTTATAGTCAGATCCCAGTCTTGGGTCAACTAACTCAAATAAGCTTCCTTTCTCCTTCAGAAGAAGAGCCTACAAGGAAACAGGAAAGTTTATCACTTTGTTGTGGTCCAATTTTCAACAAATTGAAGAAAGAATCAAAGAGTGAGGTTGTTTGTACCCAATCAAGAAGATAGAAACTATCTTCCTTTGTCCGAGAACTTGTGTTACTCCTTCCACTAACAATTTCCAAGGCCACAATTCCAAAACTATAAACATCTACTTTGTCAGTTAAGTATCCCCGCATTGCATATTCGGGAGCCATATAGCCACTGTAAACGTAGGAAACATGATATAGTATATTCTATGTCAGTGACATTCAAACACCTTAACACTTAACATGTGAAATAGTTATATATCACCAGTAATATTTGGGGCAATGGAAGCAGTAATACTTACAAAGTTCCAGCAACTCGGGTACTGATATGGGTATTATCCTCTTCATCAAGCTTAGCCAGACCAAAGTCAGAAATTTTAGGATTTAGATCCTTATCAAGCAATACATTGGTAGCTTTGATATCTCGGTGCACAATCTTCAACCTTGATTCTTCATGGAGATAAGTCAAACCTCTTGCTATACCAATGCAAATCTTTTGTCTTGTTGGCCAATCTAATATCATCTGGCATTCTTCTGGGCCTAAGAAATACCCAATAAAGAAAAGAGTAGATATGTCATTGCTGTATATTCATTCTGGGAAATATTTTATACTACAAGCGCATTAAGAAAACAATATGAATGAAACACACCAAACAATGCACGAGCAAGGCTGTTGTTCTCCATGTACTCGTATATTAGCAAGAGTTGATTTCCTTCAATACAACATCCATATAGCTTTACTAGATGAGGATGTTGCAAAGCAGAGATCATACCAATTTCATTCACAAACTCACGATTTCCTTGTTTTGATTTAGAAGATAGCTGCTTGACAGCAATAACTTTACCATCCATCAAATGACCCTGCATTTGAGAAAATACTATGAGATTAATTTAAACAAATTTTTTGTAAGATTAAAGGAAACATTTTAGTATATGTTACCTTGTAGACAGGACCAAAACCACCTTCTCCAATCTTATTAGCAGGATCAAAGTTGTTGGTGGCGGCTTTTAGCTGCCTTAAAGTAAAAGAACCAGTTTGCAAGTTCATACCTTTTAGATCTGTAGAAGAGGAGAAAGATGAGAGAATTATTTATGAGGTGAGTACTAAACTATCTTCAATCCCAAAAGTTCACCAAAAGCCAATAATGTAATTAAATGTTAATTTCTCTGAGATACCTTGTTCTAATGTGTTTTTCTGTCTTCTGTAGCATTTCCACCTAAGGATACCGATGATAAGAAAAATAGTAGATGTTGCTCCAACCACAATTCCAACCACCATTCCTATAGATAGACTAGTACCGCCCTCAGAAGGAGGTGTAAAATCTGCTCAAAGAAAATCATGAAGATAACAAGATCATAATACTACTTAGTTGCACTAAATCTTAAGTAAAAACATGCAATGCAATTTGACTATGAGGTATACTGAATGCATGATGTAAGCATAAAAAACACAGGCACAGCTCTTGAACAAGTTAAATGCCAGTAAGAAAAAAAATCAGATACAAGAAGAAATGTGCAGTATTATTTATAAAACTTACTAGGATTCACAGATATAGCTGATATAAGAGGACCATAAACTCCTCTATCAGGAATGGCCGTTGTTCCTTTTCCAGCCCAATATAAACGAATCTCCAAGGTACCATTGATCACAACTGCAGGAAATGGTTTTATGATGGCCTTGCCAACCCCACCAGCTTCAGCCGCAATGTTGAAATCCTCTTTGACCAGCTTTCCCTGCAATCACGTATTCCAGCTATTGAATATTCCATGTAGGTTTGTGTCGATCTCTCCCTTTTACTCATTTCAATCAAACTCTAAAAATGTAATGCTTCTGAAATTAAGATCAATCTTAGCTACCTGAATGTAAATATCAAATATGCGCCTCCCCAAGCTGCTGTATGTCTTATCATCAGTGAACATTATCTCGGCAAAATGGAGATTTACTGTGTAGTTTCCATCCTCCATACAAAATCCATAATAAGTTAAAGAGATAGCCGAAAGGTGTGCATTCATGTACAGCTCTGAATCTTTCACAGAAAGTTTAGATTTGCTTGTAGCGATAAAATTGTCTGGATTTTTGTCATCATCCAAGAAGTTACCAGTGTTGCTGATTGCCCAATTGCTGCTTCCTTCAACAAATTTCGAAGGTCCTGCTTCATCTCTATCATCTTCATATTTGGTTCCCTTGACAGTTACTTCTCTTCCACCACAATTAATATAGAGAGAATACCTTTCTGAAACGAAAAAAATGATGGCTCACTACCTATTCAAGATGAATAAAGAGCAAATGAAATCACAAGGAATTGGTTAAGTACTGCTAAACTTTATGGGTTTAAGATTTTGAAGGATGATTGAGAAACTTTCCTAGGAACAAAGGAAGAATGTTCCAAAGAATGAAGCATAGGCGCAACCATACTAAAACACTGCAATTAAATCTTTTAACATAAGCTAAGTAAGAACAGCCCTCTCAATTACATTCCTCAGAAACCCCTTTTTTAGTTAGATTCTCACAGGAAGATTGCAACTTTTTCCTCAAAATGAGAAGCAAAATCCAAGAGCGACCATCGAATCCAAACATTATATATTATTTGAACTTACTTTTTTGACATTTAGAGACGCTTCCCAAGCATGAAATGTCACCTCTGATACTATACAACACAAGGTCCAGAAAATGTCAGGATCATGATAGCAAAGTGATTCAGCACAATGAAATCTTTAGAAAGCATATTCTTTGAGAATGGAGTTAAAACTTACGAATTAGTGGCCCCTGATGAGCTTGCAAACAAATTCCTGTAGGAAGCAGGACCAGTGGTAAAGATCAGTTTGCATAACAAAGTTTTTCTTCAGTAATAGCTAGGTACGCTAAGTCCCTATTTATCAAAAATAAAAAAACTTAGATGATAAGATTCTTACACACTCTTTTGTTGACAACTTGTTGCCCCTGGGCTTCCAGCTGTGAAGTTGAAGTTGTTATATGAAAGATCACTGAAGAGAAAAAGAAATTACTGTTTAGTGATAATTCATTAGTTTCTAAAGAAAATACTGTTTAGTGATAATTGATCAGTTTCTCACTAGTTTCCCTAAAATATATGAAGACAGATTGGTTTTGATAAATGTATAAACTTAAACTTTATAGTTCACATAATCTAGTAAACTGAAAGTGCAGAAGTCAAGAAAATAAAGCACACGGCTAAGGAAATATTGTACAGGTTACTTTTTGAGTATGAACTAATTAACAAAGAACTTTGCATAGATATTTCAATATCAAATTCTTAATAGAAATTCGAAAGATTTGTCAAAAAACTTCCTTAGAATAAAAGCACTTCAATCAAGAATTGAAAAAAAAATCTTACATATTGTCTCCTTTTTCCAGTATCCAAGGAGGAATTGTTCCAGAAAGCAAATTTCCAGTTAAATACCTAAAATGAGCAAAACAAAAAAAATGCTTTTATAATTACATGTTTGACATAAATAAGTCATCAGGAGTTATAGAAGATATACCATTGGTGTTTACATAATCTACACATAATGAAACAAAAGAGTTGAAGTATATGACCCAAAAAAAAAAAAATGTCCATTTTAATCAGTCAAAGACGTGATTACATGAAATCAATGTCCACAAGACCATAATAGCTGCTTGGTATTTCTCCACTGAGTTTGTTGAAGCTAAGATCTCTGCAAGAGAAATTCATATCAAGGAGATAAAATTAAAAGTAGTTATATCATGTCTAGAATGAGACAAGAAACTAATTGTGCACTTACAAAAACTTCAAAGATGTCATTTGCCCCAAATAATCAGGTAACTTTCCGAAGATATTGCAATTCCTCAGTATCCTGTAATTAAGACAACCAGAAGAATCTATTAGTCATTTATGTCACAGAAATGTCCTAGATTTAGTTAATGAGAAATGCCTCAGTGTAAAATTATACTCACAGCCTGCTCATATTCAGCTTCCTACTAAGTTTTGGAAAGGTTGCTTGATCACTTCCACTTAAATCACTAATTCTCCTGTATATCAACAATATTCAACAGAGTATAAACAAAAAGACACAATCAAAATATCCCCAAGTTGCTGATTTAGAAAATATAAAATCTAGAATCTGCACTTACAAGTCAGTTAGCTTTTCTAAAGCACTTATGCTAGAAGGAATTGGCCCCATGAAGCCGCTTGCCTGAATAACTCTGTCAAGATCAGATGTTTACTTTAGTTAATTAAGAGGAAAGAGAAAGAAACACTGATTCAAATGACTTTATTACAGTACAAATGTGTAACACATAGAACCCTCACAATTTGTTAAGCTCTGTCCAATTCTGAATGAGACTTGGTATCTTTCCCGTGAAGCGATTGTCACCAATCCGACTGCATTATTTTCAAAATAGACAAAATATCACAAACTATCCCATTTAATAAACTAAACCTTGGGAATTAACAAAAACCAGAAGATTACAAGTCCTTCAATGAAGTTAGCCTAGAAAATGTTGCAGGCAATTCTCCAGTAAAGTTGTTGGAGGCAAGAAGACTGCAACATTGGAAAGAAGAATGTCAAATAATGCAATTACTTATGTATGAACAAATATATATGGTAAAAAATTCCAGAGACATTTTTCAGTCAGAAATTAAATCAAACACAAGAGAAACAAACTAACAGTCTCTCAATGCTAGTTAGGTTCCCAAGCTCCGACGGCAAAGCTCCTGACAGTTGATTAATCTCAACATTCCTACACATTTTCATAGATACGCAAGAATCAATCCATCACATATTCACATTAACATAAATAAACTACGAAAACAACAAAAATTCATTGTCAAAAGAACTCACAATTCGATAAGAGTGCTTATGTTTCCTATCTCTTTGGGGATCGGACCCGTTAAGCGATTTCCAAGAAGAGAGCTGCAGCATTAATAACATCCAAATACTGCTCTCAATATATAAAAAACAGAGCATAGTATCAAGGCATCCATGAACAAACATATATCCCTAAGGGCAACATATATGATTATATGTATGTTATGTGATTATATGAAGAACTTTACACTAATGTGTACATATTTGAACATAAGAAAGCATACATGTTGAGAAGCTTCATGGAACCCCATTCTGGAGGGATGGTACCACTGAGGTAGTTGCGACTAAGGTCACTGTAACAGGGGATTAGGATAGACTAATGAGAAAACAAAAGGGAAACAGGGTAATTATAAAGAAGAATAGGGGCAAATTCAGATTGGTGAAGAAAATGTTTGGAAAAATTACTTACATTACTTGAAGGTAAGGGAGCCTGACCAACTCTGGTGGGAGAGTGCCCTGGAGACTCTGTGCTTTAAGCTCTCTGTTTCAACAGCAAATTGCATCTTAGTAACCCAATTTACTGGACTGGGGTGGGCCAGTTTATGTTGGATTTGGCTTCTGAGTCCAGTCCCAACGTTTCAGTCTATAGGCCCAAGCTTGTATGAACACATATAATAGTCTTCATGACTCCAATGAGTCATGCTCAGACCAAACAACATTTTAATCTAATGATTGTTTGTTTGTTTGTTGTTGTTTTTTTTTTCTATGGGTTTGACGTTTCAAGACCATTTTAAGTGATGCTTAAAACTGCGGTTTTCGTTTTTGTTTTTTATGGTCAAAGTGCGGCTCGAACTTAATTTTCACGTAATTTAAAATTAATATTTTTTAAATTATTTTAAAAATATAATCTTTACATAATATGATGCATAAAAAAAATTAAATTCTTTTTGTAATAGATACTAGAGCTTCAACCCGAACCTCTCACTGCAGAGTCAACGGAGCCCCGTGGACCACTTGTGCACGCTTATTTATAAGGTCCAAAATTGACAACTTGACTACTAGACCTCTTCCTTTTTTTTTCTCCTCTTAGCATACATTCATAAAGTTTTTTTTCGTCGAACAAAGTACAGCCATTCGTTAATCATGCAATTTACCAGAAATAAAAAACATTAGTTATGCAAATTCTTTTTTTTGGAAAAAAAAAAAGAGCAAATGATTAAAACAACTATCATAATTATATTACAATAAAAAACAATCTTATAATCTATAAAACTAGTTAAGACTGAATTTTTATTCTACAAATATATATATATTCACCTACTTGATAACATGTGAGTATTTGTCAAATTAATTATAAAATAAGGTCTTGTTTAGTTTAACTAAATAGAATAATTTATAATTGATGTTAGATACCTAATAGTTAATGTTAGTGTTATTTTTTTATTTAAATACTATTAATCATTGTGTAATAGATTGATATCAACTATAAACTTTTAGAAATAGCTAAACTAGAGTTAAGATTATAAATTTTTAAAAATTACCCTAAACATCTTTACAAAAGAGAAGATAAAAAGGGAAATCAATAGAGAAAGATGAGCTTACATGCTAACAACATGAGGGATGGTGTCGTTGGAACAGTTAACAGCATTCTCAAAACCTTTCGTTGCATTTGGTGTAGCCCATCCTGACTGTCCACTGCATGGATCTATTCTGAAATCCCAGTCTGTCTTCCCCAACGTCTTCGCTATCTCTCTCAACGCTCTCACTGCAAAATTCCAAGCACAAGAACATACAGAATCATCATCATCACAAAAAAAAAAAAAAAAAAAAAGTACGAGAAGAACTGAAGAAACTAAATTATATAGAAGACAATATACATTCGTCATCTGGTAATAAGGATGAAAATACAAAGTTTGCGAGGAAAAAGACAATGAGAAAAGCGAGAAGAAGACGAGGAAATAACATGGCTTGAAGAAGTTGAAGATTGGTAGAAAAAGAGATTCAGGCAGCTGTATGAGAGAATGAAAAATGATAAGGGGAGGGGGGACTAAATTCAGTGGTGGAACTACCAACGGGAAGGGTAGGGCCTGGGGAAGGGTTGGCCATAGGCCCTACCCTTCCCCCTAAAAATATTAAGAAAAAGTAAGTTAAAAAGGGAAAGATCATATCTTGATAATTGGCATAAATAATTATGTAAGACATTAAGTTTTGTCAATTTAATACTTAAAGGAACAAACTTTAATTGCTCTTAACTAGGGATTTCAATTCTGACATTTTTTGGCCCATTAGTGGATTTCAATATTTCATGATGTGAAAATTATTTACAAAATAAAACTTCATTGGTGTTTTATTTAGTGTAATTAACAAATTTAGAATATTAAAAAAGTTAAAATTTTAATATACACTTTCTCTCTCTGTTTCTCTTATGTCCATCTTCATTTTCCTACTCCAGCATACTATTAGTACCAGGCCTTGGAGAATTTGTTGACAAATGCAAAAATATCCAAATTGTTGCACATATAGCAACCACCAAGAAATCAAATAACATTAACATAATTAATCATAATAAAATGGACATAATTTAGGACTTAAGGAAAAATAGATTTGTATATTATTTGAGAAATAATGCTCTTTGTTCAAATTCTTAAGCATAAATAAATAATACTTATAAAATAATAAATTTATAGTACAAACAATTATACCTTAAAAATTAAGTTCCTAAGTTTTTCTATAATCTTTCAAAATAGATCATTGTCTAACATGTAATTATTGGAGAACTTATTAGTTTCTTCAACTTATTTGTTTTTTTTGAAGAATTACTAACAATAATAAAAAAGATCATAGGCATGACAACACTAGACAATTAAGATAAAAACTAGTAAAGGACTGAAAAAACATATTAATAATTATCATTATTTACTGGTTATTTTTATTTATTTTTTATTATTAATTTTAAATATTATTTTTTCCAAATAAACACAATGAGATTACTACTGAAAAATTGACAATTTTAATCCAATTTTCATAAAGACCGACCCTGCATAGAATTCTGGCCCCGACACTGACTAAATTGGGTAAATTGGGTGGCTGAAAGATAGAGGGAGAAGTAGAGAAATTAATGAGATGGTGATTAGAGTAGACCTCGAAAAATCAAAGTCAAGCTGTTTATTGCACGTGAGAGAACAAACAATTGAATCATTGTCCCTACCAAATTACCTTTCAAACTCTGCAACTTGCATGAATTATTAATGACGTGAGTGAGTACATATACTATGTATATGTTACGTGAATACCGCTTTTTTTTTTTTTTTTTGTTCTTTTTTGCCATATGGATATCATGCATCTGATACGGATGACTTAAATTTTTTTGAGTTTGGTTCCTACAATATATTTGAGTTGAGAGAAGTGAAAGGAAGAGAAATGATGAGTTTTTAAAATTAATTAATTAAATTATAATATTTTAAAATATTATAATTTGATTAATTAAAAAATGTATTTCTCTCTCTTTTATTTTTTTTAAATCAAATATATTTTCAAAGTGAAAATAGATAATATATCTTTTATTCTAGAAGTTTATTTGTTATTGTTTTTCATTTTTTTTGTTTTTTGAATTGAGATTGAATGGGAGTCACGGATTGTTCTGTTTTTGGTTTTAGCTTTGGCGGTGGATCGATTGTTTCATTATAACAAACGCAGACAATAAATATATACAACTAAATTTATGAGTTCATAACCGCATTTCTCATGATTAGGCTTGTAAATGGTCGAGTCGAGTTCCTTGGAACTTGAACTCCACTTGATGTCATAGTAATTAGTTAAATCAATTTTGAGTTTTATGAATTTAGATATGTTGAATTTGAATTTGACTCGAAAACTTAAACAAACTTACAAATTTGATTGATTATTCAAATTTAATTTAAAATTAAAATTAAATTTAAATACTTAATATATATAAATTTTTAATACAATTAAGTTAAACTAAATTGAGTTGAATCAAGTTGAGACAAATTGAATTTTAAATTCCAATAAAACTTAATTCAACTTGATTTTTGGAATTCAGATTTAAACTTGAACTTGAGCTCAATTCATACTCTAGCTTGAGTTGAATTAAGCTTAACTTGAGTTCGAATCAAGTAGCTAAATTCATTTATTGCCCTTGCCATGACTCTTGATAATAATAAAAAGGAGAAAAATATCCCAAATGGTTATAGTTAGTAATTAGATTTTTTAACATTTGTTTTACTAATGTAATTAATGCACTCTTTTGACCTTAAATTGTACTCTTTGTCTAAAAATAATTTACTTCTTTGTGCTAAATAGGATAGGACAATAAATAGACTTCTTTTATTAAGAATTTGTCCTAGGTTAATATCTATTTTTTTTATATTTTAAAGAAAATAATTTTTTTTTTCATTTTAGTCCTATTATTAGCTTTTGGTTTCCATTATCCATTTTATGGAGTATTATAAAAAAGTCTTTCTTTATTTTATCTATTTTTAAGAGTAATATAGGTAAAAATATAATTTATCTCTAAATTCTTAATTTGAATATAAATTAAAAAATTGTCTATTATCCTACTATAAATCGAGCATAGAGAAAAAAATAATAAAAGTTTCCTTTAATTTCACTACCAATATCATGTGGATTATTTGAATTGGTTAATTAATTATACAATTATTAACTTTTATTTGAAAATAATTAAGGAAAAATTCTTTTTACTATCTTTTAGTATAATCTTATGCGTTATTTAAATTATTAACTATTTTTATTTATTTGAGATTTATGATATTGAGTGCATTTATTTATTTAATGACATATGAAGATTTTATAAAAATATTATATAAAAAATTATCTTTATATCACTATCCTTCACGTTTATTTTTTCAATAGTATTTAATACTACTTTCAATATATTTTAATTGTCACATTTTCTTAAAAAAAGATGGCATAACGTTTTTGTCAATTTCAATTTCCAATATACCATTAAAGTTTTCTTTTTGCAATTTTGGTGTTGGTGGTGTGGCCTCGCCATCTAAAGCTTACGACTTTCATCAAATGGTTGGTCGGAGAAAAACTCACACAATTGCAATAAGGTTCCTCTCCAAATTGTCAATATTTTGAATATATGTAAATAGTGGAGATCCATTTACACACTAAATCTTATATACTACTGTTATACAAAATTTTAATTATTTATTTTTTCACTTTCAATAATTAAGATTTATTTATATTTATTAAAAATAATTATCTTTTTTATTTAAAAAATCATGATAAATTTTAATTATTAAGAGTGCAAAGATATAAATGATTAAAATTTTATATAAATATAATATATAAGAGTTGTATATGAGTGTATCCCTCCTTATATACATATACATACGTAAGAATATATGTATATGTATATATATATATATATATGTGTATATACAATTGAACGACAGTTGTAGACTTGAAGTAACCATTCTTTATTTTTCTTAAACAAAACACTCTACTTAAGCCTTTTTTTTTCCCCCAGCCGTACACTAGTTAGGCTTCAGTTTGAAGATTACATTAGTGCTTTGGTATGACTTGTACTCCAGTATTCATCAGACAAATACGTGATGTAATTTTTTTTTTTTTTTATCTTGGATTCTACAATGATAAACAATTCATTTTCATCTTTTAACTCATTCTACATGCATGTTAGCAATTCGAACTCCAAATCTTTTACTTTATTTAAAAGAAGATTATTAATAAATTATTTAAGTAATTGACTAATTATGTTTGTTTTAGTACTCGTGAATATGTAATGTAATTATGTTATGAGAAATAAATAAAACCTACTGGTTAAAGGATGAATTAAGATTAAAAAAAAAAAAATTGTGGCACATAAAACCATTAAGCCCCGTTGCATTTAACCTACACATAATCATCATTTAAAAAAAGTACGAAAGAACCGAGCAAACTAAATTATATAGAAGACAATATACATTCGTTATTTGGTAATGAGGATGCACATACAAAGTTTGCTAGAAAAAAGGCAATGAGAGAAGCGACAAGAAGACAAGGAAATAACACGGCTTGAAGAAGTTGAAGATTGGTAGACAAAGAGATTCAGGCAGCTGTCTGAGAATGAAAAATGATAAGAGGAGGAGGACTCAATTGGTTGGCTTAAAGGGAGAAACAGAAATGAGATGGTGATAGGAGTAAACTTCAAAAAATAAAATGAAGTAAACTATAAATCAAATGAAGTCAACTACAGAATATGAACGGGGGGAGAGTAAACAGTTGCACATGATTGTCCCTACAAAATTAGTTTTCAAACTCTGCAACTTGAATGAATTCTTAATGAGATGAGTGAGATGTATATAGTACGTACGTGTCTTTACCATATGCATGTATCTGACACGGGTAATTTAAATTTTTTTGTGTTTGGTTTGGTAAAATATGTGTGATTTAAGGGAAGTGGAAGCGAGGGAAATGATGGATTTTTTAACTAATTAATTAGATTGTAATATTTAAAAATATTATAATTTGATTTGTTAAAAAAACTCAATTTTTCTTCCTCCATTCCTTTAAACCATACATACTCTCAAAATGGAGATCCATAAATTTTTTATTCTAGAGGTTTTTTTTTTTTTTTTAACTGAGATTGATTGGATCATGGATTATACTGTTTTTGGTTTTCCTTTTGGCGGTGGATTGTGTCATTAACAAATGCCGATAACAAATATATACAACTAAATTCCTGGTAATAAATATATGAAAAATTATTGGTATATCTTCGGTTCAATACATTTTTTGACATATTCTCGGTTTAGTCATTAAAAATATAATATAAATACAGTCAATTTAGTTGGTTTCTGTATCTTGTGTGTATGATTATATCATTAAACTTGTTTGTTTTTAATTTTAGATTAAAAAATAATTATTTTTTAATGAATATATTGTGCAGTGTATTGAACCGAAATGTGTACCAATTACTGTCCTAAATATATACAACTAAATTCACAGTTCATAACTACATGTCTCATGATTAAGTTTGTAAATAGTCCAGTCAAGTTCCCTAAATTTTAAACTCGACTTGATGTTATGGTAGTTAGTTAGGTCAATTCCAAGTTTTATGGATTTAAATATATTGGGTTTGAACTTGACTCCAGTACTTAAATAAACTCACAAACACAATTGATTACTTAAATTTAATTTAAAATTAAAATTAAATATAAATATTTAATATATATAATTATTTTTTAATACACTTAAGTAGAAGTAATTTGTGTTAAGTTAATTTGAGTTTAGCTAAATTTTAGATTCAACTAGAACTCAACTAAATTATACTCCCTCTGTTTTATATTATTAGTCATTTTAGAAATTAAAATTTGTTTCTAAATGTCTGTCATTTTAGGATTTCTAAACAACATTAATTCTTTTCTTCCAAATTTACTCGTCCTACTTTCGCGTAATAAATACAAAAACCTAAAGCTAATTAATTTAAAATTTCTCTCTTTCTTTCAATTCAAAGGTTATCTTCTCCCTGCCTTTCTTTTACCCGTAGAGTCTTACAGTAAGATAATCTTCTCGATAGTTTCAAATTCTCCCATCTTGCTCTCACTCTACTGTTACTCTCCGATGGCTCCATATCACTATGATCTGATAAAACCCAATTTCGTCAAGGTGAGAAATATATATATATATATATATATATATATAAAGGTTGATTTCTTGAAAATGATGATTGGATATTTCGTCATTTGACGACTCACCACACAAAA